ATCACATAAAATTAACATGGAAGAAGAACATGGTTTTGAATTTATTACACTGACCATTTATATTACAGTTAAACAGTTATAAATCGATTCCATGCAATACTGAATTTTTATCCACGCTTTGTGTACTATATTGTGGGAATACTAAATACAAAGAAAAAATAGGTACATATACTGTTATTGAGTTCATTGAATGACAGGTTAGTTAGACTACCTTAAACGCAGTAGTCTTATTATATCAGCTACCGTATTTCAAAATTACGGCAGCAGGTAAAGTGACAATAGAGTACTTCAAAATATTTTAGGTAATTTTATTAAATATGACTCTTCTAGAAATTATTAAACTGAAAATAAAATGAAATACCAATTATTGCTGAAAACAAACTTTTACTCAAGTTGAAAACCTAATAGGAGTTAAATACAATTTTCCACATAATTCTAAATTTATTCATATATAAAAAAATATTATAAAATATATTTAGACAATACATTAATTTTCAAAGATAATTTATAGTATGACTACAGTAAAATTTTCAATGTAGCGATAAAAAATTGACTAAAAATTTTTTTACTACGTATAAAAAGAAATAATGAAAAATAAAGATTTTATTTGAATTATGATACTTTATCACGTGAAACTTAACTATATACCATTAGGCTTAATTAGAATACATGTTATTAATAAAAATATTAAGACTAAATGTTGTTAATTGCATGTGCAATATTACTTTTAACCGTTATGTATTCGTTTTAGCTAATTGGCTTTACCATACACCGTTATGAACATATATGATGAATTCGTTTCGTATGCTTTATGAACATAAATTCAAACTATCACAAATAATATAATATTTTAATAACTATTTATTTGCTTATGCAAAATATGAAAATACTGTTTTCATATTAACAAAAGTCAACAAAGGATAGTAATATAGAATCTCAGAACAACAATTAATAAAATTTCAAATTTCAAATTAAAAGATAAGACAAGAAAATAAATATTTAAATGTTCATATAAAATAATTAATTGGGATTCTTATATGTATAAATTCAATTACTCTTATTTCATTAATCTATTATTATATAAAAAATATAATGAATATATATAAATATATAATTTTATAAGATTTATAAATTAAAAGAAATACCATTTTTATTAGAATTTTATCCATTACCAAGTACCTGCCACTAAACACAGTTAAATTACACATTATTTTATTTGCAAAATCAAAAGTAAAAAAAGTATTAGGTATAAACAAAGTATCACGCAAATGGTCAACACAAATAACTGTAAGACAACGAAATTAACGAAAAAAAAAACGAGCAATAGGGACTTAGCCCGTTCAATGACCGACGATAACTGACTACAACCAGCAATCACTACTAGTGTGTCTACAACAAAACCACTGCCGGCGTTGCTGGTGCACTAGTCAGACCTCCGTCCTCCACAGAAGTATCAATATATGTACACGTTTTACATCCAGTCAACCATTGCAATCTGTGTTTTTAACTAAATTTATGTATGTAATACAAACTACAATAATATCCGTTTATGTCATTATATAGTTTACTAACCAACTATATCAACGCCTAATTGTTTTTAAGTTTAATAAAGTCTAGGACAGCTGATAATCAAGGCTATCTTCATGTGTTTTGATATTAGTACAATTAAATAAAGTCAAAAATATAGAATCGGAACTAGAATTGATGAGAAACATTTAGGGCCACAGCCCTAAATACTATATTTGGGATACTCTTGGTAACATAGCTTTGATTTATTTATGTTTTGTTGTTTATTTGTGTTTTTATACATTTTTTAGCAAAAAATAAAAACTAAATAGCGTTTTTAAGAAAAACTTTGAATTTCCTAATACTTAAACACATTTTGATTTTTACAAAAACACGTAAAAAAAATAATGTGATCATACATTTTTAATTACAACTAGCATACGTTGTTAAAACTCAATTGAATTTTATTTAAATAAAATTTATTGTAAATTACATCACATGTTCCAAAATATGAATATGACAAACAAAACCAAACTAAAATATTTTCATACACAGCCAGTTAGTGTCATGGTTGGTAAATTAGAAGGAAATCGCATACACACTAGTTTACCAAAGATTAATTCCCCGCCTTTCACTTTCCCTTTTGTTTAACTGTCTGCGCAACGTTATAAGCATAAATGTGCATTATAAAAAAAATTATACTCATTGTTAGATCAAATTATTTTGAATAAATTATACACTTTTTTATTTGTTTAGAATGTAATGATAATTGTAATATTTTAAACAATTTATTAATATTGTAATGTGTTACAATAATTTAGCTAAGATTTAATACAAATTTAGTATCGTCGTAATTTTAGTGGGTAGTAAGAAGAGGTTCTTAAATGTACTTTAAAAGTAACAAATAAACAGGGAACATTCTCAGGATTTTTTTGAAAGGAGTCTAACATAAAAAAAAATTTTAGTACTCCTTCCAATCGAAAAAATTGTATCTTCACCACGTAATTATATTTTTCATAAGAGAAATCTACTTTTTAACATTCAGTAATGTAGTAATACCAAGTACTTACAAAAAATATATTATAATACAAAGATGATAAAGGGTAGAACCAAGAGTTAGCAATTTATATTAACGCGAAACAAATAGTTCCAAAAACATTTTAGAGACGATAGTAGTTTATAAAGAGGGTTTAAAAGTTTGGATCATCTCCCTAATACCTTATTCATTATTAATAATAACAAAGGTAATAATCTTATGTGTAATTTATACTTGAAGTACTATAAATATTATTTATTGGGACCTTCCAGAAAATTTTTGAAAATCTGTCACTGAAGTCCAGAATTAAAAATTGAATTTTAATCTATAATCAGTTTTATATCCTTCTATTTACCGAACTTAATATAGTACAGAGGGTGGTGGTCCTCTTTCATATGTTAAAGAGTCCAAGATGGTTCTTGGGTAAGCCAATGATGGACAGGGCGAGTGTTACGGTCGGCTTTCACCAGAGACCAAACACCACCAATGTGAAAATCACAAGAAAAATCTCGTTGGCACCTAAACATTAATCTCAACATTATAATATAAATTTTATGTGATATTTTTAATACATTATAACATAATATCAATATTATTAATTAGAAAAGATAAAAGAAACATGAAAGTAAAATAATATTAGCAGCTCATTATATTCTTCTCTACTAGCTAGATTTGACTATTAAGCCATCTATGGCCAACTCTTTGGATATAAAATTAGAAAAACCATTTAACAGAATATCATGAAAGGATGTAAAAAAACAACAAAATATGTATCTAAAAGTAAACTATAGGGCTATTCACTAAATGGTTTTGCATGTTTTTTTTGCTATGTCGTACAAGACAATATGTTTGAATAAAATTTATTTCATGCTATAACTGAATAATTTAAATGTGAAACATTATATTGTATATTTATGGGTTAAAGCATACAAGTGCATATTTACACAATTTCTGAGTTTCAATGTATTTTTTTTATAAGTAATAAAAACAATTTACCCAGATAAATTAATTTAAATTGACAAATTATTTTTATAGAAAATATTAATACATTAGTGTAGGACATTGATAGGCTGTCTATTAATAACTTACTGATATCAACTTAGAAAGGACATTTGAATATAATTGTAAATATTTAAACATAATTAAATAATATTTTTATACAATAATATATATTATTATATAAAATATTTTTTAGGATAGGAAATATACATTAAGAGACCTAAAAATTTATTATAAATATGGAGTAAAATAAAATATTTTCAACTTTAAAATTATCAAATTAAAAATAAATCATATAATTATATACTATGAAAATTATTACTAATTAAATAAAACTATTAGTGATATTTTGCATCAAGTTTAAGTTATTAAACACCAAAAGATTGTTAGTAAATTTTACGTAATTAGATATGTTCAATAGAAATACTGCATAATAATTAAATTAATAATAAAAAAAAAAAACCAAATAATTATTTAAAAATATAAACAAACAAATTTAATATAAAATAAACAGATAAATTTTATGTAATCAAACTTAAGTCTGTAAACAGCTAATTATCAGAAAATAGAAAAACATATTATATTATACACATAAATGTGTGACTGATACAATACTTACAAAAATAATATCATATTAAATGGCTATGCAGCTATCAACAAATGATATAAGCGTAAATTTTCCAAAAATTTAACCTTTATCTCGTTTAGACAAACTACGTCCAGCTATTTTCAAGAAAATATTGATATAATAAAATAATGTATAATAAAATAACTATAATTTCATGTTATTAAAGAATTTTAAAAGATATATAAGGAAAAATTTAAGCAATTTAAACTTTATGTGATGATGTAAATAATACACTTTTAAATTTAATCATAAGAGTAATGTGACTTCCCTCGTCTAGACAACTATTATTGTAATAATAAGCCTATAAAAAGGCACAAGACTTTTTCCAAAACTAAAGTTAATAAGTTCAAATTAGAACAAAAATAAGAAATTTAAATACAAATATAAGTTATTAATCTTTTAAACGAAATTGTAAAAATGTGCTTAGGTACATACTTTTAAAGGACTCATTCTAAAATAGCCTAATAAAAAAAAAATTAATAGTATTTTAAGTACAAATAAATAAATGTTCTTTTTCAGAACATAAAAAAATAGGGCTTGCCTCTATTAAACTTATATAGTATTGTTGATAATATAATGTATATCATTAAGATGACTTACTTTGAATTTTAAGAAATTTTGTCCAATTTAATAACTTATTCCTGTTATTCCTAATATCAAATTAACAGTAAAAATTACTATTACATTTAACTTAATTCTAATGAATGACATACATTAAAAATATATAAAAAAAAATTAAATTAAATTTCGGATCTATGGTTAATGAAGTAACTTGAATTAAAATAATATACATATATTAATAGAAAAAGAGAATTTAAATGTATAGATTACCTAATTTATTTCTTAGCTGTTAATTATTCTGTACACGTCACTAATAATAGTACTGTTGCGACGAAACTATAATATAATTTAAAAAACCTAAATACACTTTATATAAAATTTTAAACATAAAAATGATAATTTTTTAAAATAAAATAACACAATTAAAAGAGCACTACACGATTGCTCATACTCTTTATGTAAAAAGATAATTACAATTCCTTTTATCATCAATAAGACACTTTCTACTTTGATAATGTTTTCAATGATATGGAACGTTTCATGTGTTTAACAAACACACGATTTTAATCAGTTTTCTTAAATAAATGTAATACATGTTTAAATAATTTTAATAGATATATTTTTGCAACAATTATTATTTAATTAAAAATTTTAATAATTTTTAATAGTTTATATACTTTTCTTTTACTAAATTTATAAAAATTAATTATAAAATGTAAAATTAATAATTTTATCAAGGAGAATAGATAACAAGTGATCAAGGATTTGTTTATAGCCGCCGCTATGCCTATAGGGTTAACTTGGCTCAAATTATGAAAGTATGATATTGGTTTTCGAATTATTGAGCCTTTTTCTATAGTTAATATTCGCCAATTATATAAATTAAAGATAGTTTAAAAAGAGAAACGCTAAACTGTATAATTTTTTGTTAAATGTCGCTTTCAGGCTTTTCTAAATTAAATTCAATCTATTGAGAAATCTTACCCTAACATTGTAAATAAACTAAGTTATTGAAAAATTTTAGAATTTAAAAAAAATGAGTGAAGAAGAACAACTTCCAGCTGGTTGGGAAAAGAGAGTTAGCCGATCAACTGGTATGTTACACTTGTATTAATATTTGTTTTTCAATTCTATTTGATTTTACTTCAGTATTCAGTTGATATACTATGAGTTATGATTATTTTATTGTAGCAAATTGCTTAATAATTTTTGAAATAAATTAATGACCTACAGCTAGTCTTGATTTTTTATTTTTTATTTTTGATATTTTATTTTGTAAAAATGATTGTTTATAATTTGACTAGGAACTAATATGTTTAAATTTAAAGTTAATAATGATATTGTAAAGTCTAACAAAAGTATAGAAATCTAGAAGTTTTTTAAGCATCCCTTTATTTTAATTAAAATTAAGGAAATAATTGAATTTTAAATCAGATATAATATACTTAACATATGTAATTAAATATATGTCTCACACAAAGAATGATTTTTAGTAGTTATTATAAACAAAAAAATATTGCATGTAAACATATAACTATTTTACTTATATGTTATTATCTATTATATAACTACTAAAATTTTTTTCAAAATTTAGTATTATTGTTATTAAAAAGTTTTAATATATTATAGGACAGACTTATTACTTAAACCTTTTAACTAAGGATAGCCAATGGTCAGTCCCTACTAAACCAGCTACAGAAAATTCAGCACCCACAAGTTCTGGCCCCGAACAAGTGCAATGTAGTCATTTATTAGTGAAACATGAAAAATCACGGCGACCATCATCATGGCGAGAAGAACGTATCACTAGGTCTAAAAGTGAAGCAGTTGATATTATAACATGTAAAAAAAATATTTTAATACTATTTCAACTTCAGGTTTAAATAATAAATATATGTACAGTGTGATTCACTTATTAAAAACCACTTTATCGAAAAATAAAAATAATATTAATAATTATTTTATTTGTTTCTTTTAATTCAATATTTCTTTCAATTTTTCAATTATAAAGTTTTTTTTTATGTTCATCCTTAATTTAATCTATTAAATAGCTTATTTAATAAATAATTATCTAATTACAAAAATTACTGGTTAATAATAACTTTTAAACCAGTATTCTAGAAGTTATTAAAAATTTTAACTAAAAACTGGAGGCAAATAATAGATGCTTCTTTTTTTATAATTAAAATTTTCCCGGTTGTACTCTTCTTTTTACCTAGATATAAATATGTCAATGAATTCTGAAATACTGTCCAAAAATTTTTATCGACTAGTCATTATTTAATTACATTATTATCTATTAAACAAGCTAGATGATTTGGAATATTGCCATTTAAGAAATTGAAGTTAGCACCCTTATAATATATAAGGGATTAACATAAAAAAAACTTTTTGAACTAAAAAAATTAAATAAAGCAACTATTTTTATTATTTAAGTATATATAGTTAATTAGGTGGTTCCTAATAAGTAATTCACACTGAATGTGTGTGTATATATATATACACACACATTATTATTATACATGTATGTATAATAATTTTTATTTTGCAGCTTATCGAGAACAAATTGTATCAGGAAAATCTTCTTTTGCTGAATTAGCTCAAAAATATTCTGATTGTAGTTCAGCCAAACGTGGTGGTGATCTTGGACCTTTTACAAGAGGTACTATGCAAAAGCCCTTTGAAGATGCATCGTTTGGTTTGAAAATTGGTGAATTAAGTGAACCTATTCATACAGATTCAGGTGTTCATATAATTTTGCGTACTGCTTAAATCAAAGCAATTTTTTTAAATAAATTTAAAATTATTATTTAAATTTTCACATATTTAACTTATTGTACTTCTTGAATAAATTTCTCACAATGTATTAGTTGTTTTTGCTACAATTAAATGCCAAAGTTTTAAGTAGTATTTTTAATTTATGCTTAAAAAATTGTTCACAATTAAATGATGAACTTAATATTTATAGTTATAAGGTTATAATTGCATTTTATTAACTTTATAATTTGTTAAAAATGTTAATATTGTAGTAATTTGAAACTTAAACAACCAAACAGTAATAAAATGTTTGCCAAAACCTCTTTTTAAGAATTATCTTATATAGTTAAACAGTAAAAGATCATCATTTTGTAAAAATCATTTTATTATTTAATACATTTTATTCTTTGTCTTTTTTATTTCTATTATAGAAGTTATTAATGAATAATTATCAAATGATTTATAAATCTTTACGTATGAACTTTATAAGTAAAATGTCATATTCTGATTTTTTAGATATTACCACGTTTTAAAATATTAATTAAAGTTTCTTTGAAAAATCATTAAAATTTGAACAAATAAGTTTGTAAACAACTTGTAGCTAAGTAAAAAATGTAATAACCAATAAAAATTTTCAAACTAGTTTTTGATATAATATGGTTTTTAGGTATGGGAGTATGGTAGAGAGAAAGTAAGAATTTTTTTTTAAAAATCTTATAAGTTATATGAGTATGCCTCCATAATTCAACATACCTTTAAAATATGTTCAATCTTCATCTTGGTGCTTTGATTAAATTCTTCCATATGATTGATAGCATCCTAAATAAAGAATTTAGAATGTGCATGTAAACCTACATAGTAAATTACTTATTTTGCACAACAAGAAATAAAAACGAATTAAAATAAAGAAAAAATATTTCCACTAAATGACATCATGTTTCATTTCTAGTCATATTTCTAGACGCGTTCTTTAAAGAAACGTTATCTGTGTGTGATATTAAGGTCCTAGGTTAAAAATTGATATTTTGATTAAAAGTATTATTAAAATAAAATCAACATTTTTTATATTTTCTTAGGACAAATCACGCAAGTTAAAACTAACTCTCGGTACAATAAGTTTTGGTTTTAACATTTTAAGTGACATTATTTTATCTGGTGTGTAAAAATCAGTTAATGAAACGAAACATAGTAGTCTCGATAGATTCCTAATACCCAGTTGAATGACGTTTCAAGTTAATATTGCAAACTAACTACTATATAACCACCTTTAAAAACTATTTATTTTGATTAAAAACTTAATTTTTTATTATTATTTATTAACACCATAAATGTTGCAATATAATAGCGTAATATTGTTACAATATATTACTTATGAATGTTACAATTAAACTTTGATTAGAAATTAATTTAACACTACTAGTATAGCTCGTTATATATGTCTGCATATACAAATGAATAATAATTTAATTACTTTTAACTATAATATATTAAAATTAAAATAATAATTAAACATAAATTGAATTATTTATGAAAATTTTACTCGAATGAAATAGTCCTGATATTTGATAAAGTTTAATTGATCATGTCTAAATTCTATTACACTATTATACATGTTTTCAAATGGATATTTAAAGTTTTTTTAAAGAAATTTCTCAGAAGATATTCATTAAACATATTACATTGAAATAATAAAATATTTGTTATTTTGTTTACTATGCTAAACTACACCACTTGATAAATAAAAAACGGTAGAACAGTGGAGTCGCGGCACAGCATGGACGTGGTATGGTTGGGACAAGTATTGATGATATCTGACAGTGATTAAAGTCACTATCATAGGCAACGTTTTGATGCAAATATGTAGATAGTGTTTAATTTTAAGAAATTGGCGAATTATTCCAAAAACTACATGATCTGCTATTTCCTTATTTATATCCTGATTAAGATAAAGTATGTTGTATGAAAGAGGGATATAAATTTTATTTCTCAAAAAAATTGTTTTGATCCTACACTTTTCAATAAGTTATAGCATTATAAAGTTAATAATGTAAAATTGAGAATTTTCACACAAAAATAGTATTCGGTAGCCATTTTCATCGAAAAGACAAAATAAAGTCCGATATTTTTTTTTCCATGATAAAGTATCTAAATTATCTTAAATTTAAGATATATGTAAAAGTGTCAGACTTTCCGAAACACTTTCAAAAGTTAATTTTTTGTGAAAAAAATATCATTTTAAATCTCCCTGTACATAGGTAAAGGGTCAGATTTATAAAAAAAATAAACCAAATGATAAGTAAGAACATCATGCATCTATAGAAAAAAAATTTATATTGATTTGTCCATTTTTAAAAAAAGTTATGGCAGTTTTAAGTAAAAAAAATTCGAAAATTGGCGATTTTTAAATTTGTAATTTTTTTGAAGATTTCCCCTGTTTACGGAAAACGAAGGAACTTTGTTCCATTTTTGAGGGTAATATCTTCGACTAGATACGATTTGTGATCTTTTGACGTATCGTTGAAAGAAATCGGTTCGGTGAGAGCTGAGAAAAAGTGATAATAGAAAAAAAAAAACATCATAGTAAAACCAATACCTTCTCAGCTTCGCATCGAAGCTAAAATGTCAAAAATTACTTATTTTTATAATTGTAATTTTTTTGTGAATTAAATACTTTTTTTTTGAATAGAAATTAGTAGTGTTATAAAGAAAATAAAGGAAATTTACCCCCTTAGTAACTTAATGAAGGGCGACACATTTTGAAATGCTTGTAAGTGGAAAACGTGTGAATATTACCACATACGAACCAGTATAAATTCAAATTTATATCTTATTTTATCATTCTGTGATTTTTTACCTAACTGAATGTTTTATTTCAAATTTGATTTTAATTTTTGAGATGTTTATATTCTCCTATGAATGCCTTCGTAGGTTCAATAATGTCTTCTTCATAAAAAACAGATCCTATGCTATAGAATAGAAATTTAAGTAACTTCTATATTCAAAAACTTGTCAACTTTTTAATGGTTTTTAAGATAATTTATTATAATATTTCTTCATTCAAAAATACATTTTTATTCCTTTTTTATAATTTTTAATGTTATTAGCAACGAATTCTGTTCACTGAAAATTGTAGAGCCCAAAAATGTACCAGACACCTTAACCATAGTTAAGGTTGCGTTTTTATTTAAGGATATAAAACATAGTTAAGTTTGTAAAGTTTTAAAGATTATTCAACAGACTTGTAGAAAAATGTTGACATCATTATCAGTTTTCATAAAAAGTGTCACAATATCTATTAAATCTTTCATGGCTTGATATTATTGAGAAAAAATATACTGTGTCAAATAAAAGAATATAGATTGAAAACATTAATTTAAGTTAAGTATGTAAGTCTATTGTTTAATTGTTTTAAAGTAAATTAAAAAAAGTAAAATTTACTAAAATTTCATTATTATGATAAAGACAGTCAATACATGGACAGTAATTGATTTAAATAAAAAAAATACAACAATTTTGAAATATATAATTTAAAATTAATATATATATATATATATTTGCATTATGTAGTTTTAGTTTAATATTAAATACAGTTTATACTATGTTATGTAATTTTATACAGAACACTGATTCAGTGTAATATTGAACATTTACTCTTTCTCTTTCAATGGCCAACAACATTGAAGCACGTTTTGCAAAATAATTGAACATCCCAAACGCGTATCAACTTCAAGTGGTTCTATTAAAAAAAATCATTGGCTATCAGAAATAATAACTGGTTCCTTACGATTTTTTTAAAAAAGCAATTTTATTTTTAAGAATTTTTGATACTTATAGAATATTTAAAGTTAATTAATAAAAAATAAATATTTAAAAAACAATCAGCAGCAGAAAAAGATGTATAATATGAAAAATATTTTTAATAATAATAATAATTATACCATCAATGAAAAGTTCAAGTTCATACTTACTTATTTCATCAAATAACAGTATATTATTGAAACAAATTGGACAAATAGGTCGATTGATTTTCTTCAATAAGCTTCCACATATATATCCTACACTGTGACCACAAGGACTTAAAGTGTACCCAGAAGCATATTCGTTTTTACAAACACATACTCCATTGGCTTAAAAAAATAATTTACAAATTATTGTAAATCACGATTGTATCGCGATTTGTTAAAATTTACACAAATTTTATAGTCTACCCTCAAAACGGGTTAATGAGAAAATTTAAAACTAAAACTTTATTAAAAATATTAAACTCAAAAAGCTACAAAAGAAAAAAAAACTAAAAAATCAGTGAAACAAGTTTACTATTATTAATGCCAAACATATACCTAGTTTGTAGTAAATTACCTAGTCTGTAATAGTCAAAAAACTTTAAAATTCGAATGGCTTATCCCTTTCAAGCTCCCCCAATTCGCGCCTATGTCTCTCTCTTATATAGTAAATTAATGGCAAACAAGAATTTTTCCAGTTCAGTTTCATTTGGTTTTAAAAATAATAGTTTACCACAATCCACTTAGAACGCTTTTTAACTCGTTAAAAACATTAATTTTCTTCAATTAAATCAACAAATTATTCTTACTAGAAACGTTTTCGTATGTGTCATAGAAATCATCTGCAAATCAATCAGAAAAATTATTATTTTTTTACTTAAATTATAATTGTACTAGGCCTATCTGGGGTTCTGCCCCAGACCTAGGGTATACGAGCCTCAAGCGTCGAAGACGCATAAGCCTATTTGGGCTAACCTCATAAGTAGGCCACTGAGTAAAATATATATATATGCACAGTCGAAGTGGGGGGATACGGAGGGATGCCATCCCTCTACTTTTTTTAATTTACATTTTTCATACATCTACTTATTATTTCTAAAATAATACATCTCCCTTTATATTATTCAATGTGTATTCATATTATCGACAAAAATGGAGGGCAACTCTCCACATATTTTGAGTCACTTCGACCATTGTATATGCACAACAAATTATGCCATTAGTCAAAAAATGCGAGTGGACTTTACTCTTAAAGAGATAAAAAATGAACGGTTTGAAGTATTTTTTTTTATGATATCTCAGAAATGTTTTTGAGCGGGTCTGGTAAAAATATTAAACCTTAAGTCGTAAAATGCTAGAGTCAGATTGTTTTTATCAAACAACGGTCAAAATTTTAAAACGTTTGTGGGCGAGCGGCAAAAATTTACCGATTTTGCTAATAATTTTCCTGGGGTGTCTTGACCAATTAAATTCGTTGAAAAATTTTTTTTGAAAATTGGTGTGCTAAGTAATTTTTCCAAAAAATGATTTTTCCCTTGTTCTATTAAATAATAAGATATATTTTTTATATAATAATAAGATATAATAAAATACATATTTTTTCAAATACAATAAAATTATTGCTTAGTGAAAATTTAGTATGTTAAATTAAACATAGTTTTTAATATAAAAAATAGCTGTTAATACATATAATTTTTTCAATAAAAATGCTTTTTGGTATAACGGTGTTTTAGATAACAAGTTATTAGCAAGTGCTTTGTTAGTTATGTGGTCAAACTATGATTTTAAGGAGTAATTTTAATATGTTTATTGGCTATCATTATTATATTACCATCCAGTTTTTCATAAAGTGTTGCTTAGTCGCTTTCTTAATTTTGATTTTTTTAAATAAAAAATCGGCTTTGTAGCATGACTGATGAACTGTGACATTTGTGTTAGATCCCTTTAAATTAATTGAGTCTGAATGTTTGATTTATTACATTTTTTAATTTTTATTTTCTTTTCTTTCTCTAATACCTCTTTACAGTAAAAAATTTATTTCAACTTAACCACACAAAAACTAAAAGAAATTCTGCTTGCTAATATATGTAACTTAACTTATCTATTTTTATATTATATATTTTAATATATATTTTTATGATTACCAAGGCCGTCTAATGATGATATTGGTGTTTCACAATGTGGACAATACCAACCAGCGCATAGAATATTCCATCTATAACCACAAATACTACCAATTTTATGGTTACATGGATTAATGGTAACCGTCAATGGTTCTTTTTTACATACATAGCATGTTTTATTATCTTCTAAAAATAAATATTGCAAAAAATATTTGAATAACAATTAAATATACAAAAATAAGTATATGTTATTACATTTTAAGAAAAATTTCATGTGATTTTCTTTAATCAATAAACTTTTTTTAGAAATACAATATTACTATAGATTAATTCTGTTATTTTATTTATTAGAAGTATTTAAACAATTAAAAACTACATAAGTCTGTACAATTTTCTTCAGCTTCTGCACATAATTGACAATTTTTTTTCGCGTTATTTTAAGTGTGTTATCACAAAAATTGCCAATTTTATGGCCACATGGATTTAAGATGACTGATATTTTTTAATTTTTAAAGCAATAATATGTTTCTTTGTCTTGAAAAGTAAAGTTGAAATCAATGTTTCTACAGTTTTTTTGGTGTAATTAAGTATTATTATTAATCCATGATTTGACATCATATATGAATAATATATATTTAACTATTTTTTAGTATAATTGGTACTCTTTTTAAATTTTGGGTTTTTTTAGCTTTGATGTGTAACTAAAAAGATTAATTTTACTATAATGTGTTTTGTTTTTTAAGTTTGGTACCAATTTTTTCAGTTCTCATAGGACTGATTTCTTTTAACAATATGCCTAAAGATCACAAAATCATATCTTATTAAAGTCATTGCTCTTTTAAAAAGAAAAAATTTTCCTCGTTCCCTGTAAATGGGGGAAATCCTCTAAACAATTACGATTTATAAAATTGGTTGGTTCGACATTTTTTAAACTTTTTTTTTAAAATTGCCATAATTCTTTTAAAATTGAACCAAAAAAATAATTTTTTTATATAATTAGTTTAAGGTATTTCCCTTTCATTTGTTATAAACTTTTTTGAAACCTGACCCTTTACCTGTCCACAGGGGCAGATACAAAATAACAACTTTTTTACAAAAGTCAATTTATTTAATTTAAATTTTAAAAATGTTCCGGAAATACTGTGTCTTTTATATATATATATGTTAAATTAAAGCTTATGTTTTGTACTAGAAGTTAAAAAATAAAATTTGTCTCAACGACCTATCTTTTATGTGCAAATAACCGTCCAAGATGAACATATGACACTTAAATTTAATATCTTATAATCGGCAAATAAGTAAAGAAAAATTACAATATTACATTTTGAATATGAATTCATATTATATTTAATTGATATAATAAATATGTATTCATATCTTAAATTTGTAAATCATAAAACTATTAATTAGGTATAATGAAAAAATATAGAAGCAGTTTATTTTGCTTTTGGAATAATCTATCGATTTTTAGCTTCGATGCGAAGCTGAGAAGGGATTAATTTTACCATGTTTTTTTTAATTTTTTTTTTTTGTGTCTGTTGCGACTTTTTCTCAGCTCTCACTGGATCGATTACTTTCAACGATACACCAAAGATCATAAATTGTATCTAGTTGAAGACTTTACCCTTAAAAATTTCTCTCGTTCTCCTTAAATGGGGGAAATTTACAAAACAATTTCAATTTTTCAAATCGATAAATTTCGTCATTTTTTTCAATTTTTTTTTCTTAAAACTATCATAAGTTCTTCAAAAATTAATAAAATAACTTAATTTTTTTTTTAATTGAAACCTTAAATATTTTCCTTCATTTGATATCATTTTTTAAAAATGTAACACTTAACCTGTTCACAAGAGGGGATTTAAAATAGCAACTTTTTTACAAAACTCAACTTTTTCAACTTAACTTTTAAAAATGTTCCGGAAATAATGCGTCTTTTAAATATATGTCAAATTAAAACTTATACTACGCACTATAAATTGAAAACAAAAATTTGTCTCAACAAACCTTATATTCTATGTTAAATGGCCGCCAAAATTCAATAAAAAAATGTAATATTTGCGAAAAAAATCACCTTTATCGTGATGTTTTTTGTGCTTAAAACTGCCATAACTTATTGAAATATTAACAAATCAAAATAATATTTTTTTATATTAAACCCTTAGGTATTTTCTTTCAATTAATATAATTTTTTTTTAAATTTGAACCTTTACTTGCCCATAGGGGGGACTTAAAATAACAACATTTTCACAAAAGTCAATATTTTCAACTTAAATTTTTTTAATTTTTCGGAAATACTGTGTCCTTTAAACATATGTCAAATAAGTTTAAAAAAAACAATTTGTCCCGACACCTTTTCTTCTATGAGAAAATAATCGTTGAATTTAACGAAAAATGTAATTTTTATGTAAAAATTACTGTTTAACATGAAATATTTTAATACATAAAACTGCCATAACTTTTAATAAATTAAAAATATTTCTTTTATATTGTAACCTTAGATATTATTCTTTAAATTTATATAAATTTTTTGAAAATCTAACTCTAAACCTGGCCACAGGGTGGATTTAAAAAAGCAATATTTGAACATAAGTTAAGCTTTTTCACTTTAATTTTTGAAAATGCAAATATTGACACTTTAATTTAATCTTAAATTAAAGGTTATAATATACGCTTTACTATGAAAAAAAAAAAAATCGAAATATGGATTTTTTTTTAGGTGAAAATGGCTATCGTATTCAAAAATATGCTATTTTTGTTTTAAAATTCTAGGGTTTGTATTTTATATTATTTTAAAGTATTTTAAGGGGAATACGCTGATTTTTATGAATATTATATAATTAAATTGACATGGAATAAAGTTCATAAGACATAAGAAGTTAAACTTATTTAAATTTTTTTGCTTTTTTAAAGTCGAAAAAGTAATTTTAAAATTTAAATTAGCTTAAATTGCCAATTTTATCAAACTACGAAAGCAACGGACAGTTTTTAAATCGGTAAGGGAAACAGGTTCGAAACCGCCTGTACCGAAGAATATTTTGTAATTTTTTAAGTTCGAAAAAAATGTTGAAATCATTTATTTTTATCTCATTTAGATTCAATAATTTCAATAAATATCAACGTTCCCACCACTGCAATCTCCCCTCGTAAGAAGAAATTTCTTATTTATGTTAATATTATTTTACTATGTGGTTACGATTTATTTTTCCAACCCTCATTTAAACAATTTTTTTTAACGATACATCAAATGATCACAATTAGTATCTAGTTAAAGATATTACCCTCAAAAATTGAAAAAAATTCCTTATTCAAATAAAAAGTAACTTAACCAGCATTCTCCATACAAAGAATTAAAATCATTAATTCCTAATATTTTTAAAGTATTTATTGTTGAATTAGATTTGATATAATAAAAGTATTCAACTACAAAAGTAAATAATTTTACTTTGTAAATTATTAATTTTTTACTCTATTTGTGTGTGATACTACCAGTCTATAATATTCCAAATTTTTTTGTAACATGTCGCTATATAAAACATAAATCTCAAAAAAAAAAAAGATGTTTAGTTTCACCTGAATTTATAGATGGATTTTTACAATTATAATCAAATTTTATAATACATTTTTTTGATTAGTTTTTTTAGTAAAAGTAAATCATTAATATTAATTTTTCTTCTGAATATTTCATTTGCAGAATCTTTTTAAATATCAAAAGCTAATTAGAAATGAATAATACGATTTTTATTTAAGTGATCTATTACGATAAAAATGTAAAAAAAAATGAACTTTTCTGATAAATTTGCTGTAAATAGTAATTATAAAATTTCTTGGCTGTAAATTAATCTTAACAATACCATTTTATCTATTTAACGATATCAATTTCAAACTTGCAAGTTGAGCTAAATATTATGGTAATAAATTCCTTTTTTTTTTTTATTATAAATTTTCAATTTAAAGGACGAAGGTTAAAAATTATTACTTTTAATATATTAAAAATCAATATCAATAATAATTTGAAAACAATTCAATATAACAATTATATGATATATAATTTTATATTATATTTTTGAATCTAATAATTACTAATCTGGATATAATTAAGGAAATAATTGATGTTGCTTTTGTAATTGTCCACCAATTATTTAGAATTAAACACTATCTAAAGATTTGCATCAGAGCGTTTCTTATAATAGTGATCACTGTCAGATTAAATTTATATTGGACCCAACTATACCATAAACCCACTGTGCTACAATTTTTTTTTTTTGTAACAAAAATAAATGTCCGTCAATTCTAATAGATAAAGACGTATCATTAGAATGAGAATAATAAAATAAATTTTAATCTTTACTCGAACACCAAAAATTACAAATTAATATTAGTCTATTGATTTAAAGAAATTTTAAAATTGAAAAATTTTAATTGATGCAAAAAGTTATATATTACCAATAGCTGTGCTTAAATAAAATGTTACAACCAAAATGCAAAACAATTGAATCATCATCTAAAATACAAAAATATATACGAGTATTTATTTTTAAAGAAAAATAAGTTAAAGATTTTCTTACTAAATTATATTTACATAATGCACATAAATACTCTAATAATGTTCTTTACCAATTACTAAAATGTTGATAATAATTAAAAAATATAAAAATAGATAAATACGATTATAATAAAGATGATAGAATTGTGATTTTTGATATTTATTGAGATTATAACGGTTAAAATTTAATTTATATATTTATAGGGTGTTTTATAGTAAGGAATTGAGGCATGAGGAAAATAAAAAAACTTATAAAAATCAACTAACATAAAATACATGAGATGATATATTTTCAAAGAGTCTTCTTTATATTTTATTGTGTTACCCTGTACTTTCAGTATCTATTAAAACAATAACTGTTTATTCAAATGTTCAAAATATACAACTTTATTTATGCCTAATAAAAACACTTGAGTATTACTAATTTAATACCTTGATATTTTATGCATTCATTTAATTTTAATGCAATTAAGTATTGTATGTAACACTTATATTGTAGTTATATTTTTTTAATTGAGATAATTAGATATAACCACAGTCCTACAATTTATTTTATTTTACTCATATTATCTTTATTATATTAGAATTTTTTGGAATATAAAAAATAATTTTCTTAAATGAGTGTGAAGCTGAAATAGTTCATATTAAATCAATAAATATAATCTATAAATAAATATCTCACGTGTGAATACATGCGATTCTTCACTACAGAAAAAACTGATGCGACAATCAATATGTTAGAAATCAATGTTAAGTATGTTACAGAAATTCATAGGAAATTACAAAATTAACACTTTTTAGTTGATTAAAACGAATTTCATTCCATTCTGTATCATAGAATATATATATATATATATATATATACGTATATATATTTATCTATTAAATTGTTATTTTATGATTTATTTTGGTTCTCACAAGTAATTTGATTTATATTAGGATATTCTTATTTATAAATTTTATTCAAAATATATGTAGTGATTGTAATTTAAAAATATTCTACAATCTGATAAACTGTTTTTTCCATTTTAGTTTAATCCCTCACAAAAGCCATAATTGTAGGAAGTGTGTAACAAACACGTTCAAAATAATTTTTTTAATTCAATAAGTCATACAACCGGAAAAATGTCATTAAAAACTATTTTATTAATTTTTTTCCTTAAATCAAAATGCTATTGAATAATAAAAGATATAAACGATAATCACGTTTAATTTTATGAAGAACAGCATTAATGTAAATTAAAATTAAACTAGTAGGTATCTTCAGTTAATACTGTAAATTTGTGTACACTTAAAATGTAAATATAAAATATATGTTCATTATAATTATACTTTTAAATTACAGATATTTGTACAATTTCAAGTATACCGTAACAAAAATAAATACATATATTTAGATATTTTTTACGTAACCTAATTTTCTATTTATTATATTATAATATTACAAGTGTAATATTATGAAAGAATTGTACAAGATGATTCTTTTAACACTAGCTACTCGATTTCTCTTAAGATAATAATTTTTTTGTGAATTTTTTCTTGGCTTTTTCTAGTTACAAAAATATCTATTTATTTGTTATAAAATATTTTTTATGATTATCCCTTATGTATTATAGAGGTGTCAACTTTATTTTTTTTTTAATGACATCATACATATTTGACTATCTTATAAAAAGAAAACGATATAATCAAAAAAATGACTGCTCATTAATAACTTTTGACCAATGCTTCGGAAGATATTTATTATTTTGCGGAAGGAAGAGAGTGGAGGAGAAATAACTAATGATGAAAACATCCTCACTTTACTTCCTGTCTACATTTTAAAATGCTAATAACATCCAGAGTAGAAATTCAAAGTTGTTATCGTCCAGTTATTTTCTTAATTAGATAATTTTTATTTAATAAGTTATATATGTGTAATGTTATTTAAAAAAAAGAAGTTAATACTTCTATAAGATATATGGGTTGAACTTAAAAATTATTTCATTACAGATAAATGGAGATAGACGTGTAACTTAAAAAATCCAAAATAACATTTTTTCAAAAAACTTAATATTTTAAAAGAAATTGAATAGCTAGTGTTAAAAAATTCTATTTGGATAAATATATTTGTGTAATATTATAGTTATAAAATTATAATATAAAATAATTTTCAATTATATTATTTTATATTGATTATAAAATTTTATTTTAAAATTATATATATACTGTAATATATACATTATAATTCTTTTACTTAAATAACGTTAGTAAATCATATCATCCTGTTATAATTTATGTTATGTTTCAAGTGTAATGGTATTGTTATTGTTATTGAGTAATTATATATACTTGTAACTAATAATAAATTACAATAAAATATTAATATTTTATCATTATTTTACAGCGTAAGTAATTAATTCGAAACGTTATATTATATTTAGTTATTATAAACGTAGNTATTTTACAGTGTAAGTAATTAATTCGAAACGTTATATTATATTTAGTTATTATAAACGTAGTTTTATTATTATATAACATAATAATCAAATTTTGTTCTAGTTAAGATATTGTTTTTTAATAAGTTAAGTATTAAATATCAAAACGATTAACTAGTATTAATTTAAAAAAAAATAACAGAATTCAGTTTAAACATTTCACTTTACAAAATGAACTTGAAATTTTGTTTCAATTACTCTAAATGTATAAAATTTGAAGTAATTAAATCTCTAAACTGAACGTTGAAGTTCATTTTTTTTTTTTTTTGCTCGCTCATTTTAGTTAGTTGAAATATTTGAGATAGGCGCCACTAACCCGATGTACTCGTTTGAATAATTAATTATTACCATTTATCGTTTGTTCGAGTAACGTCTAATTATCAACTGCGGTTTGGTATACTATTGATCTTGACCTTCTACAGATTTAAACTTGTTTGCAATAGGTCACACGTAACAGATGAGGTTAGAAGGAGACTAGACGTTTGAATAAACTACGAACAATTAATTATAGGTCAATGGCTGTTATATAATTGGCAGTGGACGACGCGAAAAAGATAATCGTTATATGCGTTGGCCCGTTGTCGTCAAAGTTTTTTTTTTTTTTATCGAGTTCAACAAAAAATATTGCTATTATTGTCTCACAGGTTTATAAAATCGAATAGTGAAAAACGAAACTTGCTCAGCGATTATTGAGATTTGCAATGAACTTGTAAGATAGAGCGGCATGTCTTTCGGAAGAGGTCATCGTGTGCGCGATATTTAGACAGTCTGGCGGCGTGGCGTCCAGGGTGGTGGGGGTATTGGCGACGCGCTCGTGCGGTCTCGTACATGTGTCTCGTGTATGAACCGTCCAGTCGGTGGTACACGCGGTCTGTGCCGGTTCAACTGCCCTCTACAGCTCTCGCGCGACGCGCGAATTCCCGATCGTTACTAAATATATATTACTTAAGATCTTATTACAAAGTTTTTTAGAATTGGGTTGACTGGGTTTTCCATACTTGGCCGTTTTTGGATTCAATCCGGTATTCCGTGGCCTTGCCATAGGTTTTCCCACAGTTCATTGTCTTCATGAGCTCAAAAACACTGATACAGCCGCGCGTGTCCAAGTGGCCGCTCATAGCCGCTGTGGTAGGTGCTCTGTTCGTCATGTCGGTCGTTACGTTGATGGCCGCCATGGCATGGACAGCCGTCGGCTACGGTAAGTCACCGGTAGGAGGCTACTTGGAAATCGTCAGTGAATTTGTAACTGTTAACGACACCGATCTTTATGGCAGTCCCTCGGAGGAGAACACGAATGACCCATTCAATTTACAATCAGGTAAGAAGTTTTTATTTTTTTTTTTAATTGACTGATTATTTACACTGGTTAGCAAAACTTAACTTAAAGATTCAAAAGAAAGATATTAAAAGATTTTTATGACTGAAAAATTAATAACAAGAGTTTGGTAATCATATAAAGCTGTTAATTACTTTCAATCCCTTTTCATGCGAATTGAGCGCATTAATAATTAAATGCACGCGCCTTTACCAATTATACGATTTAGTTGCAGACATAATAATAAAATCATAAAATATTATCGGTGATAAAATCTGTAAAGACATAATAGAAAAGTTTTATAGTAAAGCTATTAACATTCATATAGTCTAGATTATATTCCCGCGCTTAGCGACTTCATAAAACGATTAATAGAAAATAATTTTAGAACTATGTTATGATCTAGAGATGATATAACTAAAACAAAAAAAAAAAATTGTTTCGATGGCAATTTTTCTTTGTCATGAATAAAATGTATGTAGAGCCTCATAAAGTATTGAAACACGAAAATGAATCATATGATACACATTATAGTTTATAAACAGTCCCAGAAATACACATGCAGTTTTAAGTCATTAATGATTTCACTAGAGATATTTTGATGATACAATTTTTCTACAGATTAAAAACGTATTATATAAATATAATTCCTGATTAAAGTCTATCAGTCTAATTACATGTATTTATAATGTGAGATGAATTCGAGTCTTTTTTTTATTTTAACATCAATGAAATTTTCTGTTTAAAAATTATATTTCTTACAAGCTTTTGAAGTTATATATCTTACATTGCAATTAAAAAATAAAATAGATTACTACAAATAATAATTTTACTGTCAAGTCTATAAACATAGTCTCGGTGTAATGAAAAGCACTCGTGTAAAAAAGTAATTTAAAAGATAAAGTATATGAAAAAAATGTGTTTTTATGAGGGACATGTAATACTTGTTAATAAATACGCAATTATTATTATTGTAGTCGAATATTCATATGAAAAAATTATGATAAGCACAGTTGATTACATTACTCGTTTTAATTATTGAATAAACTGATCTTAACTTATGTCGGACGGATTCACGTCCAGTCAATTAAACTATGTAACTAAAAGTATTACTAATAATAATGTTATAATATCATAAAAATTTGAAAATAATATAGAGAAATTTCCACTCATCGATTCTCGAATGTCTTTCATTGTTTTGTTAACTGATTGAAAATCATGGAAAATGTCTAAATTTATGAAAAAAACTTCATTGCACAAGTGTGTTTTTATTTTTTTGAAATTAAAACTAACTTGTTTCGAATTGAAATAAATTCATAAAAATTTTAATTTTTCAATGTTTATTTAGGAAATTTGACTTATATAACTTTAGAATTTATTAACTATCAATCATTTTGTACTTTGATCATTCTATCTCTAATTAAAACAATAAATTGAAAACTTGAAATCCTCACATTTGTAAAGATTACTCACTCAACAAAACTAAAATGTCTACAAATGGTAGAATAGTAAATTCTTGGATTTTTCAATTTTTGTGTTATAATATTTTTCAATCGAGTTAATTCAACCCTTGAGCTAATTAAATAAAAAATATAAGATTCTTGAAATTTTTCTTAATAATGAAAAAATCGATTTTTCTAGTATCTGCTTAACGATCTGTCTAAAATCAATCCTTCGGAACTAATAAATGCATTAATAGTAGTATAATTATGATTTCGGCGCTGTTTGATAAGTTCGAATATTATTTACAAATTAATTTGTAACATAAGTATTACTTTTTGTTATATTCTTAGTTTTGTCTTGGCGTACTGCCACACATAATCGTTTTCTCGCAGACGTTTTATCGATGAAACATTAATGCACTTTGTGCCTGTAACTAAACGTGTCTAATCACTATAAATGAGAAGAAATTGTTCAGTTCATAGTGAAGTTTTATTTTTGCGATGCCCCTACACGGAATAAGCTCTGGAAAAGTGACTATAATTTTAACTTAAATATATATATATATATGTATGTATATATCATTCTTGGTCAATTCTTTTAGTCGTGAACATCATTAGTTGACTCTTTAGTTTTGTTTTGGCAACAAAACGTCCGTTTACTAATGACACTTCATTAGGAAAATGATAATGCCCGAACGAATGAAGCGAAGTGTTACTGATTTCTGTACATCTATCACCATTATTCATGTTCGACAGCGTTATGCAAATATTAGTTTTTATTGTGTTCTAAGATCATTACTATGAGCGTATACCGCCACTGTCACCACCGCAGCCGACACTGACTATAAACACTACGCGTCTAATTACCCGAGACAGAACGTGGTCTTTGTAGACTCTCGGGAGACGTAGGCGTGGTCTTTGCGGTGGTGGCTAAAAATCACCAGGTCTTATTAACAAAACACATTCATTCAATATTACGCCAAGTACTCATAATCTTCACTAATCATATAGTGCATACAGTGCTTACTATGTTCTACGAATGGCATAACGTTCAAGGTCACCCATAGTGTCTGTTTAGCGAAGGGCGGTTTCAAAATCGCACTTAACCGTAACCCGTCTGATAGAGTACAGATATATTACAGTAAATAATAGTCGATATGATAATAAAGAAATGATTAATAGTAGCTCACTAGTAAAACTCGGACTTTTCATCAATATTTCTCTAAAAGACATTATTAACTCGAATAAATTTTAGATTGAAGAATTTTTATCCATTACATTTATTTTTACGGGTTCAATATTGATGGTGTGCACTAAATAACGATTATGTGGTTGATAATGAAGAATTTTATTAATTATTGTTATCAATCGACAGATTTTTATTTATTCTGAACGTTAAGAATATTATTTTAAAAGAAAAATTTACGCCAAAATATACCCATAGAGCACTAAAGATTATTCATCTTTATAAAATAACATGGGACATTGCCAGTTAAATTTAAATGGATTTCATGAGTGATATGAAAATATAGGCTAAGATTTGTTAATTAATTTGCTTAGAGTTGACAGTTTATAAAAAAAGATAAACATCTTTACTATGTCATCGAGGGCCATTCTTAAAGAAAAAGTGCAGGCGAAATACTGTTGGTCAGCTTGATGATGTGCAAGGACTATTTTTATATTCCAATATTTGTTGTATAGAAGACAAATTATCGTATTTTTTTAACATCACTTTAAATCAATCTTTAATGCGATTCTTAAATACATCTATACGCTTCAATTTTTTGAACAAACGATTGAATTAATTAATTTATGGTTTTATGTGATTATAATTTTGGAAGTTTCTATTCAATTTTTAATTTTAATTTTTTAAAAATTGAAATTAATTTTGATGATTTATAATTTCAGAAGCATGAACATGGTAAATTTTCCAATCAATTTCGTATTTTATAAAATAAGAGTAGCTCGCTAAAAAATTAAAGCTGAAAAAAATAATGAAAAACACTATTCACTATAAATTAATACTATTTAAATATTAATTTACAAAAATAAATTTACATACATGACTTCGGAACTGAAAGGTTTAGTTGAGTTACATGGCGTACTTGACAAAATATAAATATTCATTTTACAATTACTACCTTAATCTTTTAATACACTAAATATAACTCATGTTACCTCTAAAAAAGTTAGAAATTAAATTTTCTATAACAATTTAATAAAAAAAAGTTACATCTCATTGTCATTCTTTTGAAACATCGGATCGTTTTATGAATCTTGCAAACTCAAATGTTTAAATAATTTATTTTAACATAAAATGAGAGTTAAAATTAATGTTTTCGTTAATAAATATTAAAATTAAATTTGAAAAATAATTTTATGTGTTAGTTGTAAATTAATTAAAAACTTAATTCGTAATTTAAAATTTGAATACCTTTCGTCATAAATTTAACCATTAAAACTTTTATAACCAGACCTTATTACATGAGCAATACTTTTTTTGGTTCTCATAAATGCAAAGATACGTTTTTCTACAAGCGCAAATATGAGGACTACAAGTGGCGTAACAACTTCAATTTTTTGCTAATTTTTCACTTTTTCATAATGACGAAAAAATTTGGTTTTTATTAAATACAATAAATCTAACATCGCCATGACATAAACTAAATGAGTGTCTATAGTTATAATACATCAAGTATTAATAATTTAAAAACCTTCAAGTAAAGTTATACCATTTAATATTTCAAAAATATTTTAAATATTTTAATATTTATAATATATTAATATATTAAATAGTAAAACTATTTAAGTTTATCATTAACAATGAGCTTCATTTAATCTCTCATATTCACTTATATAACAAATTTGTCCTGAAGGTATTACACTTACATAAATATGAAATATATACCCAATTTAACTCATGGTTATGGAGAGTAGTAAAATTGTTCATAATTATTTTTTATTAGTATTAAATTTATCAATTTCATAAAATAAATAGTCTAAGTTAATTTTATACATACGCAATAGAAACTGAGACCAATTGAGTACAAAAAAATAATTTAATTATTTTTTAAATAAAAGGTACGTTTTTTAAAATTGAATGTTTGACCTAAATTATAAATTAAATGAAATTATAGTAAAATAATATATTATATTTCCAGTTAATATAGTAAAAGTTGAAACGTAATCTATATATTGTGTATTAATAACAAATTATCCACTTTCAATTAATCATTTAAATATGATAAATTTTATTATATTATTATTGAAAATAATATATCTATGGTATTTTAAAGTGGTTTTACCATATATACGAATTATAACCATTTGACAAAGTAAAATATTGTTGAGATCACTAATGGAAAAAATCATCTGGAACATTAACTACTAATTGGATCCTAATTAATTACAAAAAAATATTTTCAAATTTATCAAACCCCATAAAATATATATTTCTTTATAAAATTATTTATGAAAATTTACATTGTATAGTAATTATTTAAAAAATATAATCGAATGACTATTGTTAACAAGTTTGTTTATAATCATCGCGTGTGTTTA